CTCTCAAATGATTTTTGGAAACGAAACCTTGATAATAATCTCTTAAACCTATGGCAAAAAGCTTTTTAAGGGTCCCAAAAAGTTAAGCCGGATTCCAAGGTTGGAGAGCCTAGCCCTAGCAAAAATCCCGAGTTTCGGGGGTTATTATTTTTTTTCCGGGGTCGGGAAAGATAGTAACCACCGGTAGTTTCAGTTTTTGAAAGTTCAAATTACCCATCACCATAAGGAACACGGCATTGCCGGTTATGATGGCGACATAGATATGGAATCACTTAGCGATGAACGGGATTACAACATAACTATTGACAGTGACGTTACCACCACTGACCTATCCACCGACCTATCAGGAACAGATGAAACTGAAGAAGATGAACCTTCGTCACAGGAGGTGGAGTTTACACATGAAAATAACGAAAGTGGTCAACAAGAGGTAGAATTAGAAAAGATACTCGACGAAGTCTATGAGGTACCATCTCAACTAAGAGAAAACCGAGTAGACAAGATCAAGGAAGGTAAATTATTGAAGAAAGTTTTAGAGAAACTAAAAATATCAAATAACATTGACATTAATATATTTACTGATTCCAAGCCTAGTATACAATTTTTAAACAAAGATTACAGATCCAAGAAAAGAGATAAGTTTATAGATCTAAAACTAGCAAAGTTATCAGAACAAGTTCGAGAGAATATTATTGCTATAGAAAAGATACCTGGTGTAACTAACGTTGCTGACATTTTAACCAAACCGGTGACAACGATTCAATTTAAGAAAATAATTGAATGTTTAGAGAATAAATTAAATCCTGAAGACATTCTTCATATAACTGAACTAGAAGAATCAAAATTCAAGGACAAAGAGAAGATGTTGATGATCAGTTAAAAAGATCGTAAAAACATGTCTTTAAGGAGGTGTGTCAGAAATTATGAGATGACGTAAAGTCATACTCATTAATTCAATATTAATAAGGGTGAAGAATTATATGAAACATCATTATTAATAAGGGATAAAGAAATGTTTCTAATACGAAAGTATTTACTTCTGACGTGTGAATAATATCTAAACATTGTATATAAAGACTGATAAGATCTTAATTGACACTTATCATATGTACTATATTCCCATGTGTATATTTTATACTTTAATACACCGGATCAATATCATCTAATTAAAAATGTCCTTGCAAACAACTAAACAATCAACTACTATTAATGATTCTGTAAAGAATCCACAACCCTCTGATTCTCTACATATATTGAATTTGGTATACGTTAGAATGAAGGCTGGTAAGCGTTTATTCTATAGGATCTTAAGGGTGGAGATCTGTAGGTTAAAGTAAATATACTTGTTAATAATAATAAAGTTCTATATTCTTTTATGTACAAAGTAAGATACTAAATAATATACAATAATATACAATAATATACAATGATCTCTTTAAATATCAATGTTAATAGCATGTAACAACATTCTTGTAGTGACACATATTTCTTCACCTTCAAGGTTCGTATGAAGTAACCTCGAAGTAGTCTCGAAATAATACAAATAAGGAACATTCTGGAACCTTCTAGGTCAGAACAAAAAAAATTATATTATATATCAATAAATTACACTATTTCAGGTCATTCTCTAGACATTAAATATTCTATGTTAATCCTACTTCTTTCAGTACTAATAACTTCTGTCATTGTAATAAGCTGAAAAAAATATTTAAAAAACAAATTGGGGCGAGCTGGGAATTGAACCCAGGGCCTCTCGCATATTTGAATGATTTGTATCCCAAGTGTAACTCGGAATTCGCCCAAAGCGAGAATCATACCACTAGACCACACGCCCGTGTTATTTGTTGAAAGGGACATATTTCTCTCCAACATGTGTTGTATAAACAGTGATGAAATTTCCAGAATTAACAAACTTCTGCTACAAATTTATTTTCCCGTCTTGAAAATTCACTTCGTTCCTTTGATCTATAATTATGATATTAAAAGGTGAGAGTTTTTTTCTTTTTTTATTTGGAAAAAATGCTAGGTCAGAACACCATGAAATGAACCTAAATATTTTATACGGAAATTTGATTAACACTTGTATAATAACTGTTCGTAAAGCTCTTCTGTTTCCTATTTTTAAAATTGGTGATCAAATAATGGCTAATATTGGTAACCCTAGACATGATTTGTGGTCACTGCTAAATACATGATTACATTTGATATTCAGTAATCCTTACAGAGCCCAACATATCAAGATTACAACATTGATTATTATAGGAAAGTTTTGTATTCTTATCTGGCGCCTGAGAACAAAATATTACTGCATAGTTCAAAGGTAAAAGAGGGATAATGTCTTCACATATATTCCAAGCCCTATATATATATATATATATATATATATATATATATAAAGATAAAGCCCAACAGTAATATAATTTAATAATAATTTATTGTCATTATTTTCATTATTTATTCGAAGTGCATGTATATTTTATACTAAGATGTGGTGCTTGAATCTCACGCTTGACTGAAAAAAAAATAAAATAAAATAAAAGAACACCTCCTACTTTCATAAAATTCTTTGGCCAAAAAAATATTTTCTCGTCTTTCAATTAAAGCTGAATTTAACTGATGTTTTTTATATAAATTTTTTATTTAAAGTTAGGAAAATACCTCCAACAATAAAATTTTATTATATTATATTTTATTTTCCTGTAATATGGAGGATATTCAATTTTGAAGAAATTACAGGCCATATGATAGGAGGTTTAAATAATGTTTTGAGTTGTTTAATATTCTTTGTTGGCTTCTACTTTAGATGGCCCAAAGGAATAAAAAGAACTTCTTCAAAGATCCATTAAATGTGGTGACTTATATATATGTGAATCAAATAAGTTCATTAGAGAATTCAAATTTTTTGGGGAAAAAAGGGGCTAAAATTTAAATGTTTCATTCCATTTGTTACTTCACAAGTTTAAATTCCGAACGCTTGGAATCAGTCCATGTTTGTTGGTTGGAATACATGATATTTCAAAGAGTCCAGATAAAATTGGGCCAAAAAAAAGTTGGAAATATATAGTATTAGAAATGCTTAGTTCCATTACCGGATAGATAGCTCTCTCATTATAATTGCAACCAACAAGTACATTCAACACTAACAGATTCGATGGATGTGCTGCTTGATTTGATGTCTCTACTGCTAATAGATAGTTTTCAAATTAGAAAATAATAATATAAGCCCAACTATAATATATTAATCATTATTCGATTGAGCTGATAAATATCAAAACCTCTTTAACTTCTTCCTTTACTTGTTTCGATTGTGTGTCGTTAATATCATATCATCGGTTTAATCTACTGGATAGGCATTACCCTGTCTTTAATGCTTCAGATCAAAAATTTCAATATGGAATATTTAAAAATGTATATAACGGCTAAGAGTGAAATGAGATGAGATATCTGGGTTGTTTTGATTCTTTGATATAAAGTGGAGTCAGTGGTAGCATCCTGTTAATATTGGGGGTCCTGGTATATGTCTACTTTTATCAGAGGTCCCATTTGTGGGACAGATAATTGTCCGTCGAGATTGTGGCGTATTATAGATGGTAGACGAACATGCCAATATGGGCATGTTATGGAAGGTGATGTTGAGTACAATGATGATGATGATGTAGGTGGAGGTGCTATTACGAGGAGGTTAAATCTTACTACAAATGCTACTGGTAATTTTCAATCAAGCTTCAACGCTTCTCAGATGATGGCATCTCAAAAGATAGAAAAGGATAAAAAAATTTATGGTTATGAAGCAAACTTATTATTTCTAAAAGCATTTCAATATATTCTTAGAAGGCAATGTAAGTGGCTAATTCAGGAAAAGGGATTCCCAGAATATTTCAAAAAAGTAGTAAAGATAATATGGGTGAAGTACGTTCTATATATCAGCGAAAATGATGAAGGTAATGATCACACTTTCAGTGATGATGAAAGGGATAAAGTTAATAGATATAGATATAGCAAGAAGTCAAGGAAGCCGTTAGGTTTACATATGACCAGTACTTTGGCGATATTGTATATTGCTACTGTACATTGTGGATTACCAATCTTCATGTGTGATTATCTAAACTGGATTTGTTCTTCAAATTTACCATATTTTAAAAGTAGTATGCTACTTCCAAAAGTATGGAGAGAGAAGTTACCAAATTATTATATTGGTATCTTTGATGGTGGATCGCCGCCATCGGATGGAAAAGTGTATCAAAAAGTGGCGAATTTGTGTAATACTATTAAATTTAGTGCTCATTTTAATTCTAAGTTCATGTATCCGCAATTGCTGTTAAAATTGGTAATCGAAAATTCCCTGCCTCCAGAATTTTACTTGATAACTGTACAGCTAATAGGAGAGATTGATTCTATGGAATATATGGTTCTAACTGAAGATAATTCAAAAGAATATAAAAAATTTCATCAATCTGCAGAGATTCGAACAATATCGTATTTTCTGCTAACTTTGAGATGGATTTTGTTCGCCAACTTAGGAGAAAAATGTTCAATCGAATGGATAAATGGTTACTTAAAGAAAATAGAGGCTTTTGAAAAAAGTGCTGTAACTAATGAAAGAAACATATCAAATATTATGCGTGATGATAAGAATCGAGATGTTTTCAACTGGGATTCAAAAGACAGTATACATTACCTAGATTGGGTAGAGAAGAAATTTCTTCCAACACAAAGCTACCCTGTTGATGATGATCCATCTTTGGGTATAGATCTACGAATAGCAAGAAGACAGCTTTACAAGTTACTTCCCTTAAATATTGAAGGAACATTATCAGACCGGGAAATAACAATACCATATACTGAAGAATTACAGCAAAAATACATTCAAGTAAGGAATAATATCGAAGCATCATTAACCGATGATTTAATCAAAGAAAACGGGAACTCAAGAGAATATTCTATCCTACAACTTGAAGAGAGCATTTTATCCAATATCTCAATTGATTTCGGTATTTCCAAGGAACAATTGAAAGGGAGTATAGAAAAAGTACAAGCATCTTGCATGGATAAGTTTAAAGAACAATTTGCATGATAACAACATTAATGATAATAAAAGAGTAAATGAAAAAATTTGAAATATTTTCTTTTATAATTAATTGCATTTTATAGATATAATAAAGGATTTCGTATAATTACATCAGTATTTAAATACATTAAAGATTTATAAACAGACTATATCGATTAGATAAGTATATCTTGCGGGTATACCTATCTCATTAAGACATTTTCACCCATCCTATTTTGGCAAATGTCTTGTCGTTAGATTTCGTGGAAGTTTTCTGTTTTTTCACATATATTGTAATAAGCAATATGTAACTAACGGAATTGTATCATTTGACCACAGATGCAAACTCTATTATGTTGAGATATAATTTGAAATTGAATTGATGCCAAGGCCTCTATTGTCCTGAAGCCCAACCAGAAAAACCTCTTTGTGTAAAGGCTTGGAAAGCATTTCCGATAGCTGAGTTGGCAAACATGCTCCCTGTGGATTCAGATGACTCTGATACTCTATTTAATTCATCAACACAACTTACAATCTTATTTACATTAGTTTCGATAACCATACCGCCCTGAATAATTTCTTCCAAAACACTCTCTAATGTTTGCCAGTTGAAAATTAAATCCAATTCACTAACCTCTGTGAAACATCTATCCAAAGATTCAACAAAAGTTTGTATCAAATCTAATATAGCTAATTCGGATTCTTGATCATCTACAATAAAGGTAAAATACAATGTTGCATAGTTCTTGTAAATAATTTGAATACCTTCATCTGAATTATCATCATCCTGATTCAACAATAGAGAAGGAGGAGTTACCAAAAATGAGCATTGTAAATCGCTATTACGTTGAGATATCAAATCATAAACTTGTTCCAATAATAATTTTTGCTTTGGCAAATCAACAGGAGTATAAAATTTAATTAATCTTGGTTGACATTTCTTATTAAATATCAATACTGCATGGATCATGATGGATGTATTTAGATGGGCAAATGAATGATTATTCTGTTAAAAATTCCAAGTTAGAAGGTGTAGATAATCCTAATACAAATCGATATAAAACAAATGATCTGGGCCTATTCATTCAAGTGATATCTTGATGGAAATAAAACTGATTAGATGGTACCTGAAGCAGAGAGCTATTCAAAACCACTTTTGAGATAGACCGGTAATTAAGCTTATATAGCCAATTAAAATAAAACAATACCTATTCAACCTGATGCAGGATCGATGCCAACATTGAACTAATGACATAGCATCAGAACCAAAAACAATTAAACAGTTAAAAAGAATATTGCATTCCTCTTAACTTTGTTAATTTGTTCCTATGATAGTGGATGAGGCATATCAAAACGGTAAGATTGATTTATTAATTTTTTGGCAAAAAAAGAAACTGCGCAAGCCCGGAATCGAACCGGGGGCCCAACGATGGCAACGTTGGATTTTACCACTAAACCACTTGCGCTTGTTAATTGTTGAAATTTTTTTGAAATTGTTGCAAGGATTTTGGAGTGTATTGTTTGAGGTCAGTTCGTACGAGCCGTGATAGTGATGAGATATGTGTTGTTACAACAACGTTGTTTCATATTATCAACATTGCTATTCAAAGAGATCATTGCATATTATTTTATATTATTTAGTATCTTGACTTTACGTAAAAAGATCAATTAACAATACTAGTAATTAACAGCATATTTACTTTATCTTACAGATCTCTAGATTAAGATTATACTGGATTAACGCAGAAATGCCTTTATTCTAACGTATCCCAAAATAAATATACAACTAAATAGTAATTGAAACTTACCAAAAGCTAGCCAAACAATACAAATCAGAGAGGTCTGGATTATAAGAAACTTAATATCAAGATATTATGTAAGGGAGCAGCAACAGATCGGATAGCAAATGAAGATAATTAGTGTCACAATAAAAGAGGTGAGCCACAAGGGAGATTATATTAAGAAACAATGTTTATGGTAGAATAATTAACTTAGTTATAGTCTATATAGAGTGGTAATTTGAGATAATAGGATAAGTTATATTTTGTTAAACAAGTGACACACATTGCAACAATTTACATTACAGCACTTACATTTTAATCGTTCTCTACACACTCTAGTGCAATTAGATATATTATTCATCAGTATAACTGGGTAAACACTCTCCATTGAGGCAAAAGCTATTGTGGATCGATAAATATTGTTCGGCTCTGATATCTGAAAATCGTTACAAAAATTTTAAGATTTTTTATGATGAATTATACAATACAAAGTTTTATTTCTTTATTTATTTATTTTACATTCTTTCAACTGGAGTCAAACCCAACAAGCACATACCATTATATAAGACTTGTCTGGCAGCAGCATACAATGCCAAACGTGCAGTAGCCAATTCTTCAGTTTGACCAGCAACCCATAGGACATCGTAACATGAAGAGACTTGGTGAGTCAACTTAAATAAGTAAGTAACAACAGTAGCTGGTTCATGTGTCTTGATAGAGTTTCTCAAGACATCTGGGTATTGAGCCAATAATCTGATCAATAAAATAGCAGCTGGTTCCTCCAATAGAGAGAAGTCAGCATCCAGCAATTTATCTGGAGTGATTTCAGAAGCGTTTCTTTCGACGGATCTCAATCTAGAGTGAGCGTATTGCAAGTATGGACCAGTGTCACCTTCAAAGGATAACATTCTTTCCCATTTGAATTCATAGTTGTTGATACGCTTAGATTGCATATCTTGGATCATAACAGCGGAAATACCAACCAAATCAGCAACTTCTTCTGGCTTTTCAATTTGAGCGTACTTAGCTTCATTCTTCTTCATGACATCATGCATCTTTTCTTTAGTTTCTTCTAAAATGTTATCTAGGAAAACAACAGTACCCTTTCTAGTGGACATACCTTGAACCATACCGAAGTTAATATGTTGTAATCTGTCAGCCCAATCGAAACCCATTTGTTTTAAGATTTCGAAAAATTGAGCAGTATGCAAATCTTGTTGAGAAGCGATAACATAGATCATCTTGTCGAATTTATATTTTTCGTAACGGTCCATAGCAGCACCGACATCTCTGGTCAAGTACAAAGTAGTACCATCGGATTTTTGGACGATAGTCTTACCCAATTTCTTGTTGAATTTTGTTAAATCAATCAAGACGGCACCTTTATCTTCATGGGTTAAACCCTTTTCGTTGAAAATTTCAATAGCTTTGTTCATAGAATCTTTTGAAACTTGAGATTCACCAGAGTAAACATCGTATTTAATATTCAAACGGGCATAGGTATCGATATACTTTTCAATAGATAATTCACGGAATCTTTTCCAGATCTTCAAAGCTTCTTCATCACCGTCTTCCATTCTCTTGAAATATTCACGAGCCTTACCATTAGTGGATTCTTCTAATGGTAAACTGTCACCTTCTTCTTCGATATCTTTGTTGATTTTAACGTAAACTTCGAACAAATGGTGAATTGGGTCCTTAGCTAGAGCATCTTCACTACCGTATCTTTCGAAACCAACAGCTAGCAAACCAAATTGCTTACCCCAGTCACCTAGATAGTTCATTCTAATAACTTCCCAACCTAATTTTTCATATAAGTTAGCGATGAAACCACCGATGATAGTTGATCTCAAATGACCGGCATGGAAAGGTTTGGCGATGTTTGGAGAGGAGAATTCAAGAATAACTCTCTTGTTTTCAACCAATTTGCAAGAACCATATTCTTCCTTTCTAGTTAAAATGTCTGGTACGACAACTCTGAATAAGAAATCAGGCTTGAAGAAAAATTGAATGAATGGACCATTAGCTTCAACTTTTTCCAAGAAATCACCACAAGGGAACTTTGAAGACCATTCTTCAGCTAAATCCTTAGGATTAGCACCTTTGATTCTTAATCTTGGAATAGGGATTAACAAATCACCTCTTTCCATAGTATTAGTCCATTCTAAAGCAGGAAAGATCAATTTTTCGTCGACACCAGAAATCTTACTCAATTCTTGAGTAATGTAATTTCTCATTAAATCGACAACATTGACGTTTGGGAAGGAATCTTCCATTACCATTGGTTCTTTAATGGATAGTTTTGATAATTGATCCATAATACTATTAGCACTCATCGTATGATTAAATTGATTCCTAGAAGAGCTAAACAATCTTGATCCAGCAACAGCAAGTGATGACGGTTTCTTATAGATGTTAAAACAACGACAATAATTAATAAGAGTATAAGAAACTCTCTTTAACATAAACTGAAAAATTTTTTACCTTTTAATTTTACAAAAAAAATTAAATTACTATTAAAACCCCCAGCAATTAGAAAGAATTTAGCAAAAGACAAAGACAAACTTAATTGAAACCTATAAATGCTCTAATATCAATTAATCTACAGATCTAAGATGGTTTGGAAACCTTTATATATATAAAAATAGTTTTTACATTGTCTTGATGATAGTTAGATGCTTTCAGATTGTTCGAACCAGTTTCAAGAGATGAGCTCAAAATTTTTCACTTCAATTCGAAATCGATGAGATCATGTGATACGATATATATATATATGTTAAAATATAGAAATAATGACGTATGTTGTACCTAATTGAAGTCTAATTGAAGTTGAATCGAATAGAATCGACAGGCTGTCTCTCCTCTGGCAATAAGAACTCGCTCATTTGCAATTATTACATGAATATTCAGTTAGATTTTTAATGACTCGATGGAGGAAGGTTGATCCTGTCAATTACTCATTATTAATGACTGTTTATTTAAGTTGAAATTGTAACTTGTTGTGTGCATAATTTCCCGTAGAATGGTATGGATTATACACATGTGACGCATAATATATGTTAAAGTTATAAACGTAAATGACACTTGGGAGCATTAATCTTGAATATGAATTAGGTAAGGTTAGAGGATGTTTTTTTAGGGAATCTATGCGATTGTACCTTTTAGGAATTTGTTTCTTGTCTCGTGGGTCATATTAGTGTTGACTCATTTAATAATGGTTGCTTCGAAAGAGAACGAATGAAGAAACCTTGGTCAGTTCTGAGATGACTCATATCTTATATATCCTAATGACAGGTAAGTAAATATTGATTTTACTAGAGGATGAAAAGTATTCGGTAGAACTAATTTAATATTTTTTATTGTCTCTGTATTGGACAAACTTCTATTCTTCTAAATGTGTCTTTTGAGCTTAGCTATATCGGCTTCTCCTTGTAGATCGTATAAATTTAGTGTCATCACCGTTTCACATAAGGAATATTTTCAAGATGGATGTTTAATACGCTATATATCTGTATAAGTTTTATTACAATATTCCAGGATATTCGTTTAATAAACTGGGTTTAAATTTTCCTCACCACGTCATACATTTTGTGAGGGGGGGAGAGATCTAAACTAAAAAAGAAATGGTTTCACGCATTAACCGTAGTTTCTAAAGTGAATTAATAAAATATTAATAAATAAAAATTAGTATTAGTATTAGATATAAGGAGTTTTGATATATAAGTATATAAATATAACTATAAATCAAGTATTTGTAAAAATACATCATAACGTTGTCATCACAAGGACAAAAATTAGTAATTACAATTTTTATTATGTCCATTGTTCTAACTTTATAAAAAATATTGCAATGATACACGGTTTAGTATTAAACCCTGTTCATCTGTCATAAAATTATTAGCGAGTCATTAATCTATTTCTTGGACATAAATTTCTTGAAGAATGGAGCCTTTGTGGTATCCTCAACAAGAGCATCTGGGTTATAATCTTGACCTCTTTTGCTTAATGGAACCCATTCAGATGAACGCCATGGGACGACACCGTCAGCGTACATGTCATTAACTTCTTCCAAAGTTAAACCTTGAGTTTCTGGAACAAAGAAGTAAACGTAGAAGAATGCAAAGACCATACAGCCCATAAAGACGTAACCGTAGTAGAAGTTAATAGCTTCGGTAATGAATGGAGTAAAGAAAGAAATCAAGAAACCCCAGATCCAGTTAGCACCAATAGCAACAGACATGGCCTTGGCCTTAACTCTTAATGGATAAGATTCAGCAATGATAACGAATGGAACTGGAGCCCAGGTAGTAGCAAAACTGAAGATGAAGAAACAAGCAAAAACAATCATACAGTTACCGGCACCCTTAGAAGTGTTGAAGTCACGGTTATCATAACCATCTGGCCATAATCTTGTAACACCGACAGAAGCGTAGACAACGTAACAACAAACCATACCGACACAACCCCATAGTAAACAACCACGACGACCAAAGTGATCAACAGTATACAAAGCGAAGAAGGTTGAGGCAAAGTTAACGACACCAAAGACAATAGCAGTTTCAAAAGCATCTTCTAAACCAACAGCTTGGAAAATAGTAGTACCATAGTAGAAAAAGTAGTTACAACCAGTCAATTGTTGCAAAGAATGCAACATAATACCCATCATAGTTCTTCTCAACATAGCTGGTTTACCCTTAATCAATTCCATCCAAGAAGCGTCACCAGCCATGGCTGATTCTTCAACACTGGCAGTAATCAATTCAATTTCTTGTTGAATAAATGGATGGTCACCTGGCAATTTATTGATCTTAGCTAAAGAAGCTCTAGCTTCTTCTTCTCTTTCCTTTTCCAGCAAAAATCTTGGAGATTCTGGGACAAAAGTCAAACCACCAAGCATAAACAAAGCCCAGGCAAAACCTAAACCTAATGGAACTCTCCATTGAACAGAATTGGTGTAAGTTTTAGTACCGTAGTTAGTACAGTAACCAACGAAGATACCAGCGGTAACATTCAATTGATAGATGGAAACTAAAGTACCTCTTAAATGCTTTGGAGAGACTTCGGAAATCAATAATGGACACAAGACGGCAATACCACCGACACCCATACCAGAAATAATTCTACCAATAAAGTATTGGTACCATTTGTTGATGGAAGCAATTTGGATAATAATACCAACGATGTAAGTACCAATGACAGTAGTTAAACCAGCTTTACGACCTTTAACATCACCGACTTTGGTTAAAGTAACACCACCGATAGCACAACCGATATTGAAAATGGAAACGACTAGACCGGTTCTAACCTTAGATAAATAAGGCTTACCTTCACCACTAATAGAACCAAATCTTTCCTTGAAATCAGACATGTTGACGAAACCAGAAATGGTACCGGTATCCCAACCGAAAATGAAACCACCAAAGGCAACCATAATACAACAAATAGAAACAGTCATATAGGCAGCAAAACCCGAGTTTGGGTTTTCAATTTCATGGTATTGTTGATCTGGGTTAGTTAATTCGAAAGCATCTTTGTCTTCCTTATCTTCCATAACATCAACCGCTCTTGAGCTATGGGAAGAGACTCTATCTTCAGCAGAACTCATATTGACTTATTTAATGAGTTACAATTGTTTTATTGTTGTTGATTTTATTATTTCAAATTTAAATTATATTTAATAATTGAAATGAGGAAAGATAGAACGTGTTATCATGGACTATTCCATCCTTTTATACATTTCCAAATTGAATGAAAAATTGATTCATATTGGCATTTTAATAATAAGAAATAAAACGATCAAGGATATATTCAATTGAAAATTTCTTCTGTGTCCATTTCTGCAGTTTTAATAAAACGTACTGGTATAAACCTTAGAGCAAAGAAGAGTGTGGCAATCAATTCATTCTATGCTGTCGTCACTGTATAGCCAGACCAAAATAATCAATTATAAAACCATTTTATTACCGCCCCATGATTACTGGTTCTTGTTGGAACTGTGGAGAACCATAAATCGTTTAATCTGGGGTATCATACATAATTCATGAGGTGCCACATGAAGTTTTTTGTCTATAACATTTCACCAAGTGTAATAGAATATCTTGCTAAAGAGAGAAACGTAACAGAAAGATGTACTCTTTTTTTAACAAAGTCTGGAAGTGTTGGTGATATTAAAGGATGGAAAGGCCTGCAAGTTGCGATGTTTCCTTAGTAATCGTAACATATACAACACTTCATCGAACTAGGTTGTAGAAACTTGCCTATTAATGAAGCCCAGAGAAAAGAAACGCCATTTGTTCCCAGCATAATTCTGCAGATACATTGATATTACCAGATCTGTAAAGGTTATGGATGAAACATGGGCAGACATGAATAATTGTAATATAGATCCTTATTAAGAATTATTCCGAACATCGGTATACGGTTTTTCCTCAGAAATTGAAATGTCCCACCTCAAATGATGTAACTTTGCCAATAGTAATAAAAAAAATTAAGTGAATAAAATATTAATAGAAAACGTAATTGTATTGGATAAATCTGAGGATGCATTCAAAATCTTACCCAATTTAGAACTAATCATCGATAGTTTCAGTATATCGAATCATGTCAATTGTATGGAGGTAACCGAAATAATTGTATGTGCGTTTGGAATGAATGAATATCAGTATGACTTAAGAGGAAGATGTGAAATAAAATAGGACGATTCCTTCGAAAGTATCATAGAAAACGCCAAAAAAGCAAAAAATAAAATTCAATTCCATTCCATTCGATACAATTCAATTCAATACAATACAATATCGTACTTAGCTTTTCATTCTCCTCATTCCACAGTTAACTCTTAAGTGAATATTCAGGCAATGGTAAGATATCTCCACAATACCTGGTTTGTATTATGAAAACTTGAACTCTGCTATTGGCTAAAAATCAATAGTTATAGATATTTTGGCAATACCAAACGAACTATTGTTCTCATAGATGGAATCATTCATAATCAACCCATCTACGGAAATACACGGAGGTATCAATGGTTACAGAAGAAGTTTATCCGTAATGTTGCAACATATTTCATTTGGTTGTCTTTTCTGGTTGCATAGAAACATGTTCCTTTGTCTCCATTAATATCTATCCTCTGTTATTGGAATAATCGAGTGTTGCAAATAATGTTGATGGTAGTGACCAAACAAGATATTGTGTGATTATACCTAGAACAGCGGAAGAATACCTCCTCCACAGTTGTAAAGCCAGATTCAAAAAAAAAAAATTTCATTAATTCTCCTTCCCCACACATAAACAACCCCATTGCAAACAAATATCATCCTATCATTATGACAATATCAAACTATTAGTTTACCTCCACTCCATTGAAAGACCGTCTCATCTCATGTACCTCACTTCAATTCATCATATTGAGGTATTTTTTATTCATAAAATAGCACCATTCCTGTTCGAAAAAAGCAGCAACATCTAATAAGTATTAGATAATACAACGTTGTAAGGTATATAGCAGTACAATAAACGAATTCGAAGTGTAGAAACTTGTTGTAAATGCAGGAAACCCATATCTCTTCTATGTGTTACTCTTTCTCTGCATTTCACGATCTGGTTGTATATCTTAAAACGTATATGTAGGCTGAGAGACTAAGAGATGCCCTTATTGTGAGGAAAGATGTACTTCGAACTAGATCAATTTGACAAAGCAATAATAAATATACACAGTTCCAGTTGCAATTGCAACTACAAGTACAACTAGCAATGTAAAAAAAATTGATACCAAAATGCCTCGCTGCATTGTTGATATATTTTGCACTAGTTGCATTTGTAGTTGGGACGACAAGGAATAACTTAAGTTACTTGATTTCGAAACTGGCAATCAGCTTTCACTACATTAGAAAAAGTGCTGTTCTTGTGATAATTTGGTGTAGTAGTACCAATTATATTGATTATCCGTTGCAACTCTGTTTGTTGTTGTTTTTAATTCAACAAATTGGTCAATTAAATTCATTAGTGAAATTCAACAAGAGGTCTACTACTGTCATTTTTGTTTGCAATAAATTGCACTCTCTTGCCGCACTGTTCCTGAAATAATTGTAACACCGTGAATGTAAAAATAAATTTCAATATCAAATACCAACAGTATTAACATTAACCATAACTGTATTATTATAGATATTCATTCATGAATACGACGAAGTTGAAAGCAATGCCTAGTACGGTTTGCCCTCTTGTAAAAATTGTATTAAAACAATAGTATAACTTTTAATTCATGGAGAGGGTGGATACCATGAGATTATTTTAACATATTAACTGCCATATGATACTATGGTTTCATTTTTAAAATTGTCTGTTATAATTAGAATTGCATTTCCTTGAAACTGTTGACATACTGGTTTCCTCTTTGGATAATAATCTGGAGCCAGTCACACACATTAATGATTCTATGTAATAAAATATCGAAAAATTATAAGCTGGCAATTACTAAGCATATCATTGGAAGTGAACAAATAGAATGGTATCTTATTTATACTATTATCAATAAAAAAATTTCACTGTTTTCAAATTCTAATCAGGTATATTAAAACAAAGAAATTGTCATTTTGAGTTTCCAATCCTTCAAATTATCCCCAGATTACAGATGTGGTGATATTTTATAAAATCATAAGTGCGCCTGACATATTATTTTTAGTGGAACTATATTCACTTTTCTATTTTAGATATTGCTAGATTTGTCAGTCAGTAGTATTCTTTGAATTGTGATCTGGTTTTAATAACACCGTCATCTATGCGAGTAATCTTGATTCATATTATTGCTATACACTAAATAAAATTAATCTTCTACGTAGGATTCCTGGTTTACAACATCTGATCTGGTAATAAATACAACCTCGGTCAGTCCGAGTCCCTTAACATTCTTATCATTAATATGAAAGCAAAAATTCTTATCGTCAGCATATTGATATATATATGGTTTAGTACCTGCAACTCCTGATACTATATTCTTGACAAATTGTGGAATTTCACTCATAACATCGATTCTTTCTATCAAGTTGTCTAAAGGAGTTTCAATTGAAGCTGTAAATTTATCATCTTCAGATATATCGTTATTTGCAATTTGTTCATCAGTCACATTAGATTTGACACCATTAAATGTACATGAAATAGATTTTGGAACTTCCCAACCTATTTCATCAACCTCTGAATCTATATGTTTAAAATCATTATCGATTGTTAATGCCAGAATTTTTTCTTTATCAGTTACTATACCAATCGAAACTTTGGTATGACCATAGGATTTCGGTGTAATAAACTCCATTAATATAACAGAATAATCTTTTGAATGGAAATTTATAAAATTCCAAGATTTAGCAGCATGATGGGGTTTCATACCTTGAAATGCCATAACAAACATTGACAATGCAGGTTTTTTATTAGTGAAAACTAATTCGTCCTCAACAACATCTTCCTCATCATCATCCGATACATCGTCTCCCTCATCTTCATTATTTTCTCCAGTTTTTCCATCTTCAATTGGTTGATCACTTTCAACATTGTCATCTGGTGGTGCAACAGCATTATCTCGAGTGTACTTTAATTTGATTGTACCAACCGCTTTATTTCTTGGCCAAAATACATGTCTCATTTTACCCCAGGGTTCTTCTAAATTATCCCCAAAATAAGTCATTGGATCTTCTCCTACTTTGCAACCTTCTGTAATTCTAGTGAAATATAAATCTACAATAGAATGTTCATTCACATTTGAAACAATGTGGTATTGATTGCATTCATCATTTAATTCTACTGACAAGTTGTCAGCATAAAAGTTTGTTTCTTCAATTCTGAAATTCTCTAATTTTGTCGAGGTCCATACATTCAATTTGTCTGGATTATGAGTATCAATACTCTGCAAGTAAATTGCCCAGTCTTGTGTAAACCTATAATATTCGAATGAATGATTTGCACGAAGCCTACAATACCTGAATATAAATCGTTGAAATAAAAAGTTGCTGTTTCCACGTTAGTGTGATCCGGAGAAATCCAAATCAAATCCTCACGTTCTAAGTTATGGCAAGGCTGGATATTCGAGTCCTTGACTCTATCGACAGCAGAACTAATATATTCTTTGCCATATTCTGGTTCAGCAATACCAGTGATGGAAGAAATACCACTATGAATCCACTTCAACATGGTATCTTGTTAATTATATATATTTGTAGTAACTTTGGGGAGGGGGGTGTTATTTGGTATAACGTTATAAAAATCTTGTTGAAAACAGAAAATAGTCTTCTCTATTATAGGAGTTCTTTTAACTCTTGATTTAAAACTTGATTTCTCAATTGAATTGATTGAGAATACACAGTAGTCTTGGTTGGGGGGAGAGAGGGGAAGCTGGGATATAGCTTTTAAATAAGTATAGTTATAAAGATAGTAGATTAGATTACTATCGCCTTATTTATTCGTTTCTATGTCTGTACTTTATCAACCTTAAGCTTTAAACTTTAAACTTTAAAAAAAAAAAGGTGGTTTTCTTGTTCGTTTAAGGTCCAGTTTCTAAATAATGAAAAAAAAAATGTCGTCGTTAATTCCTATGCTGGGAAGTGCTGGTCAATCTCAAAATACGAAACTGAATATAACTCTGAAGTGTACTTGACTTTAAAATTGGATACTAAATTCAATCTTAGTCTATATATATATAAGTGGGTATAAGCTATATGAATAAAAGTAAATATTTATATAGTACGAGGCAGATCAGATGGAGTTGGGCCCAGCTAGTTTCTGATAAGTAGATCTTGGTGTCTTTAAACCCCTCTTTAAAGTTATTTCTTTATAGTTCAGAAGAGAAGACGATTGTAAGAGAATTTAGACCAACTCACGATATGAATGACTGTCTATATTTCTTGTTGGTATTAGTTTTAATATCATTGTTGTTGTTAATGTTGTGTTATCATATCATATCATTGAGTATAATGATTGATTGCTTGATCAGATTATAACTGTTTGTTGGGAAAGTGGAGGGAAAGGAAGCTGATGATGATTCAAACAGAAAAATTAAAAAAAGGACATGTGATCACGAGGTCTGCGAGAGTAAGACTAGTATGGTGTGGTGGTTATGGTAGGGTAGGGTATCAATTGTTGTTGGGTGGAGAGTGAAAAACACGCAGTGGGTGACTGAAGTGTATCTAATATGGTAGCGCCGTCTTTGGTGAGAAGTGTGGGTGAAAAATGGGGAGGGGGAGTGGGCAAAGAAAAGAGAGAAAAGAGGAGGAACAAGAGGCACAGAATAGTTCTTTTCGTAATTATAATTAACAATAGAATGGAGATAATAGTATGGCTCTCTAGTCTACCCTCTCTTTGTCTCTGTGGGTAAGGGTGGCCTTTTAAAAATCCGTTGCCCAACGTTTACAATCATTGGAATAAGTCGGGATTCGAACTGCCGACACTTGGCATCAAATTGTGTTACCCGGATCACGTGGATTTCAATATTTCTTGATATTGCCAAAAATTGAAAAATTAAACAAAATGAAAACTGTTCATAGAACAGAACTGCTCTATCGAATTGACTTTTAAATGAACTCGCAGATATAAGGCTTTCACTCAATTAGTACTTTAAATCTTGCTGGAATTAGGTGTTCTGGAGTGTCCTAGTCTGTCTGCAATTTAAACTCACCATTGTCGTTGTTTTTGTTCTTGGGAAAAGAACATCTTTTGTTAACTATAGATAGACCTCTAACAGAAACTTACTAAATAAAGACAGGAATGGGTTTGGTTTCAAGATCTCTGAATAGACACACTGTTAGATTGTGTAATATTAACCAGAAGTATGCGCTGCAATCACCGTTTAGAAGATCATATTTAGTACCATCTTTTGATCACTTGCAAAAGGAAAAGGGTTTGAACGGTTTATATTCAGAAAAGGGTTTATCAAATGCTTGGTTCGATAGAGTAGAACTATACACTGAAAAATTGAATGAATTGGTCTCTTCTTCTTCGGAAACTAGATCTATCGAGTCTATGATCAATGAATCATCCAAATCTTACGCTAAACGTGATTTGGTCAATTGTGCCTCAATGCTATATAGTTTAAAATTTGTCAACAGTTCATTGCGTGGTTCAGACAAGCCTTTAACACCAGAAAAGGTCAAATCTTTACATAAATCACCGGTGGATATCTCTTTGAAATATTCAAATGAACCTTTGGAAACTGGTAATCAAAGGTTGCAAGGTGCTTTGCAATCTTCTTTCGGTTCTCTAGTAGAATTTAGAACTCTATTGTTATCTTCAAATTTAGCTATTTCAGGTGAGGGTTTTACCTGGTTAGTAGCTAGATTAGATAGATCTCCAATGGGAACTAATACCACTCCTGATCAAAATCAAGATCAATTTTTTGATCAGTTGTTTGTGGTAAATACTTACAATGCAGGGACTCCATTTAATTCTAATAAATCGGGACATATGGTAGACTTGAAAAAACAATTAGAGAAACAATTGGAAGAGGATAACTCTACTAGTGTCGAAGTTCCAGAGAAGAAAAATTCAACTGAAAATTTAGAAGATATCATAGAGGCTTCTTCTTACCAAAATGACGTCACTTACGTACCACTATTAGCAATTGATGCTTCTCCAAAATGTTGGCTACATGATTATGGTGCTTTGGGTAAACAACAATACTTGGATAACGTCTGGGAATCAATAGAGTGGAGTACAGTCGAATCTAGGCTACCAAATATGGTAAAAACATTTAAAATTTCTAATTAGTGGGATTGTTACAAAATCAACCCATCTATCATTCTTACTATTCATAATTAAACCCTGTGGATCTACAATAAGCATATTACAAGGAATATCTCATCGTCATATAATCTCACTTGTAGATATATCCAATACATATCTGTAAATAATTAGAACTCTATCTATGTATAAATTTATCTTTATCATTTAAAAACTGAATTATTAATAGTTACAAGTCTTATAGTAAATACATAATAATTTAGAGAGTACCTCGATAGTAAAATTAAGAAAAGCTCTATATTCACTTCGTGATCACCCTAAACACTTAACATAATTTTTTCCAATTTTATTGCTTGTCATTACAATGAATTTATTACACACATTAAATAGTTGAACCTTGATTGATTCATTTTCTATTAACTTTTAAACTTTTTACTCTCCTTAAAAGTTTATTACCAGTGGATTCCTTCTTAGCATTCGAATCAAAGCGGATAGAATTATCATTTCCACCGATGTAAACATCATCGTCCTCATCATCGTCATCATTGAAAGAATTGTGTGCCATATTACGATAATTACCACCATCGGATTTACCTCTTCTTAAGTTTGGTCCTTCATTATGGTCATTTCCACTAGCCATACCTAGAGTTAGCCTTTGTGATAATGATTTCTTTCTTTGTATACCGTTATTCAAACGAGTCTTATGGGCGTGATTTCTAATATCTTCTCTAATTGCATTGGCAGATGCAGGAGCACCATCCAAAAATGTTGTTGACCCTAAACCTGCAGTTGTAGGACCAGATACTAATTCAGTTTTAGCCTTGGCATCAAATTGGGTAACATTATTCGAATATTGTTTGATAGCGTCCATTGTATTTGTACTACTCGTGCTACTTCCTACAGCACCCATATAGATAGTATTTCTATAGCCCTTCTTCCTACTTGAATCGTCGACTACTCTTGTTCTATACAAATCGTTCTCGTCTGCATATTGATCTCTACCAAAAACTTCATTTAATGTAGAGGTTCTCGAAGTAGCACCACCGATAGTACTATTTGGACCATCAGCAGGGAAAGCCAACACTGGGGCCGCTTTAACATTTTTATTTCTATGAGGAGTCACTGCATCGAATGGACCATCGTGGTGAAAGGAACCACCAAATAAACCTGTGACATCTAATTTATCAATTGAATCAACGTTCTTTGGCATAATCAGTTGACTCTTCCTCTTGCTCTTGGATGAATGTCTTGAACTGTGATGATGTCTATGTTCACCACCTTCTTTCTCACCACTACTACTACTACGATGAGTATGTTTCTCCTTTGGATAGGAAGAACGGCTTTTACCAGCTGCAACATCTTCGTAGGCAGGTGGTGGAGCATTACCTCTTCTTTCTCTTTCACCGTCCCTTCCTGAATTATTGTTGTTATTCCTGCTTTGTGAATCGGAACTTTCCATGTATGATTGTCTTAGTCTTTCCTTTTCTTCACTAGAAGTTGGGTATTTTCTACTAGAATTTTTATTGTCTGTGTATACTGGTGGACTTGTTTGTCTTTGACTATGAGAATTGTCTCTATTTGAAGTTTCGTTTCTAACATCGTCTAAGAATGGATTGGTACCTGTATGAGTAGGTCTATTTTCCGTAGGAGAAGGGGTTCTATCACCACTGTTATATATTCTTCCCCCAGCAGAATTATTATTGTCAGTGATAGAATCGACAAAGCTAGTTGAGCTTCCATTTCTTCCATTATTAATATAAGGAGGGGATTGGACACCATTAGCCTTTGTCCAATCCATAAACTGGCGGTCATCCTTATATTGTTCTAAACTTGCATCTATAACAGCAGCCCTAAATGGGTTGGTGCTAGAAAATGGTCTACTACCACTGTTGCTACTCCTCTGACTGCTACCTCTGCTTATCATAATGTGTGAAAATAGTTAAAAAGTATCTGAATGTCTTTATGTATACGAGAATACGACTGAAAATATTAAAATTTGTGTATAATAATATGTGATCACTTTAATATTTGAAAGATCTAGAATAAGTTCTATTTGTATAAGAAACTTATAATGCAAAAAAATAAAAATTAAAACAGTATATTATAACAGGTGAGCGTAATAATCAAACGAAGAAAAAAAAATAATGTAGTTTGCACACTAAATCCTTTTGTTTCTCGATATACTTCTAAAACAGAATGATCAAAAAAAACAAATAATAAAAGGATAAGGTTTGATGACAAATAGTTTTTAACAACGATTAGTGAAATTCGATTCAAATAAGCTGTTTCTTTCTCTCTTTTCAACCACGATCTAATTTGAATTCTTCCTTTAGTTCCCGTTTTCTATCTAACGAACTAGGAGATAATCAATATAATTCAAATTAACAAAAACTATTTATCAGTCTATCTATTGAGATGGCAAACCAAAAATCAAATAGAAAGTGAAAGTTAAAATTAAATCTTTAAAAGTCAGACACGTCCTTCTGCCAACAAATATAAACTAGGTAAAATGGTCAAAACAAAAGCAAAAAAAACAATATGAAGAAAACTTCTACTTTCTTGAACCAAACTTATAAACTAACTTGACAATAAAAGAAATATTATATTATCAGTAAAGTTGAACCCTGAATGTAAAAGGACCCAAAGATTAATCAAATGAAAAAAATAAAGTGAAAAAAAAGAGACGACAAAGTGGCTCTTTTCGTTATTCAAAGTATAATTTAATACAACTCCTTAATAGTTTCGAAAACAAAGTTCCAGAAAGTGTACAAAAAAAATCTCTATGGATGGATAGATTTATATTAATTATATTTGATAATAATGAAAACAAGAATCTGTCTATCAGCTGTTTCCCTTTCTCAAACTATTCTGAGCCAAATTAAAATTAAAACTTGAGACTTGAATTAGAACTAGAACAAGAACTAGAATTAAAATAGAGATTCAAACAAACAAAATCCAAGCGAAGAATCAACAAAGTAAAGATAACTCCTAATTTGATGCTGTTTCCTGTCCAGTAGTTTATTTTTATCTTAAAACAGCTTAATTTTTCAATCTAGAGAGGCTAGAGATAACAAGTTGAAAAGATAAAATCAGCTTAGTTTTGCAACTTTTCCTCGAAATTGTCATTTTTCAATTTTTCGAAATCAATTAATTGCAATTTCCAGATTAGGTAAAACGTTTAAAGATGAGAAAACGCCATTAATTGATTTCGGAAATACGGCTGGGTAACTTTTGTTGTTTTTCTCCTTGTGTTTCCGGAGGAGGAAGGGTCTTTTCTTTCTCCTCTCTTCTCTTTCTTTCTCTCTTTCTTTCTTTCCGGATTAGGTTAAGTACGGTGTGGTGGTTGACGAGAGACCAGTGAGATAAGCTGTACGAATGGGGTTAATTTTAATAGAAGGGAGGGTAACTTTGACAGATGAGGCCAGAAGAGAGGAGACGAGAGGAGAGGAGAAGAGGTTCCCTCTTCTAGGAAAGAGTGAAATGACAGCGGTTATATATTCAGTTTAGTATACAGGTATTACTTAATATTTTAATATAAACATATCTCTCTATGTATATTTATTTTTGTATGTGTACATAAATATATTTATATATTTATACAAATTTCTATCCTTCTGTTAAATGATTCAAGTTTTAGAATTGATCTAAGATTCATATTTGACATAATTTTGCTTCTTTAAATTTTCCTGGATACGACGGTACAATGAAACTAAATAATTATCACAACTTTCGATTTTATTCATTGATGAATCTTCACATAAGACTGATCCCATTACTTTGCTGTAATATTGGTCGATGTTTGGTCTTAATAATATTAGTGGCAATGAGTTTTTATTTGAAATTTGAGACCAGTTTTTAATTATATTTGATGCTTTGACATTGATAGCAGTACCAGTTTCTGGTAATGACCTTGTGAATAATGATATTTGACCAATTGGCAACGATGGGTCAACGTCTAATAGATCTTGAAGTAATAATTTATTTGTGTTTTCATTAAACCATAGATAGATTGCATCACCTTGGAAAATGAAATAGCATCCACCATTGATTATTTCAGCGTGTGTATCTTTAACAGTTAAATTCTCAATGGAAGTTTGGTTAATTTGTAATAATTCGTAATTAGCATCGTAAAATGTTAAATCGATATCTTCTAGCATAACATGCTGTGGTAAAATTTGAGGATATAATTTATAACACAATTGAGCACTGTTAAAAGTGGAATATTTGAACAAATCATACACACGATCATTACCACGGGTGCTTTGGGCATTAGGTTTCATTAGTTCACTCTTTTGGAAAGCTAACATATAGGTTGGTAATGTCTTCAATGAATCCGGTAAAACTAATTGCGACGATGAATTACCACTAACTAATGCACGATATTGTGTTAGAATATCAACCATCTTATCATCAATAGATTGTCTAACTTTAATGAAATCACAATCACCAAGAGTACTTAATATATCCTTGATCATTACTCTCATCACAACATTTTGATCTATAAACTTGAAAACTTCACGGATATTACCAGATATCGCACCATTAGTGTTAATAGAACGGACTTTTCTGTTACCATCGATGTCAGTATATAATAAAGCAGCTTGGAAATGAACATCGGTTCCCGTCTTCATTTTATCAACATATTTTAATAAAACATCAATTGTAGTGTCAGTAGTCAATACTGGAATTACAGGATCACGATCGGTGCCATCAACAGATTCAGAATAATATTGGTAAATTGATAAACCAGATGAACAACGGACCTTTAAGATGGA